ATATTTTAATTTGTAACAGATTAAAGTGTGATTGATCGTGTCAAACGCCTTCGAGAAGTCAAGTGTAATTAATGCTGTTAAGTCTTTATTATCAGTATTTCTGATGATGTCATCAGTGACTTGTACTAGAGCTGATGTCGTATTGTAGCCAGCCCGAAATCCAGCTTGGCAATCAGGAATGATAAACGGCTTTTTCTAGGATCTTCGATATTGCGGGCAAGATGCTGATTGGCCTAAGATCTGAGAATTCTTTGGGGTTATTGGATTTACCTAGGGGTTTGACTATAGCAACTTTCCATAAGTCTGGAAAATAGTTTTTTTCTATACAACAATTGAATATATGTGCAAGATAAATATCAATTTCTGGGCTACAATATTTCAGCATGGTGATAGTTATACCGTCAAAACCAGTAGCATTCGATTTTATTCCCAATAAAATCTCTCTAACTTCAGCAACACAAATAAAATTTAGTTTGAAAGGAGAATCATGATTTCTTACATTAGGAAATTTGTGAGTATCATAAAATTCCAGGAGATCATTATCAACATCTTCATCGATAAAAACAGAGCTAAAATAGTTGTTAATTTCCTCTGGTTTCTGAAGATTGGTTGGTAAATCGATATTATTCTTATTTGGGTTAATATTCTTCAAAGCACTCCATAATCTTTTCGAATCACGTGAGTAGAAAATACTATTATAATAAGCTTTTTTCTCTCTTCTGATAGATGACAAGGTGAAATTTCGCAGCTCTTTATATCTGGACCAATCGTCAAGTGATTTCATTCTCTTGAATTTGGCTAAAGCTGCATCTCTCTCTCTCATCATCATTTTGACTGGAAAAGATAGCCAAGGTGCAGGTTTTTTTGTCATACGAGCTATTTTCAGAGGTGCATGTTCATTGAATAATGACAAAATCAAGGTAGAAAAGTAATTTACTTTTTCATCAATATCATCCATATTAAAGATATGATGAAAGGGTACTTTCATTAAGTCTGTCTGAAAACGATCAGCATCGAATTGTTTAAAGCATCTATAATGATGGAATTTTGTTTTTGTGTGGAATGATTCGAAATACAATTCACAATAAACTAGACAGTGGTCGGCTACGATACTAGCATCTATAACACCAGTTTTTTTTTACATATTCAGAATTACTAATGAAAATAGGGTCCAACAGGGTCATAGAGCCCTTAAAAATTCTTGTTGGTTCATTGATGAGTTGATTGAAACCGTAAACGTCTAAAGAGTCAGTCAGAAGATTGTTTGTCAGCAAATCTATGTTCATGTCACCTAAACAAATCATTTCGTCAACCGTAGGAATAATTGAGGATAGTGAAGTATCTAAACACTCAATGAAATATGTCAAGTTACCTTTAGGAGGACGATAAATGTTACCAATTCCTAACGAAGTGTTTTTCATTTTCACCTCAATCCATATTTGCTCACAATGTTCATTGGTACTACTACTTGAGATTAGTAATGTTGACCTTAAATTGTTAGAGATGTACACACCAACTCCTCCTCCACGAGACTGCCGATCTAATCTATAAAAATTGTACCCAGTAATGGAAATAGTAGCAGTGTCAATATCATCGTTCAACCAAGTTTCAGATACACCGATTATATCGTAACCACTTACCAAAGTCTTGAAATTATCAAAATGAGATACGAGTGATCTAACGTTCAGATGATATATCTTCAAGATATTAACCATCTCAATAAATAATATTTTATTTTTATATTGTGACACCCTGTATAACTTAAGAAGTGAGTATCATTTCAACAGGTTGATATATCATGAAAAATCTATACTTATAAAAAAGTAGCTGGTCCTCTAGAGCCTAAAAAAGATATATTTTTTTTGTCACCACACAAATGAGATCGTCAAATCCTTGTTTTTTATATTTCATTTCTAGAAACTCGCAAGTGATATATGAGAAAACGAAAAAAATACCAGTATTCACTGCAAGATAAACAATAAATAATAATTCTGTTTGATATCAATATGAAAACTTATTACTAAAGAAAACAAATCAATAGAGTGCCTGCCGGGTTCTAAGTAACAAATCAAAGTAGCATAATGAATCGACGAAATTTCGAGAATACAAAATTAAAGAGGTTGAATTTGTCTGAGTTCGGTATCACTTTTGATATAATGCTTTTTACCATTGAGTAAAATAAAAAAAATTTCCACCTTGGGACCATACACTCCGCTTTCCAAAGATTTCTCTGGCATTCACAAGAACATCATACCTGGACTTGGTTAGATCTTCAGTAATTGTAACATATGAGCCCTTCAACTTTTTTTTATTGGAAATCACCTTCAGACAATCTTCGGAGGATGCACACTCAACGATAATTGGTCGAGTGTACCTTCTATCATCCTGCTTGGATTGAATTCTATAACAGCTTTTCATACGTATATCTGCCGGGACGAGTGAGAGTTTATCAGTGAAAATATTTTGAACTACTTCCGAAATATTCTCATTTTTGCTTTCCTTGACTCCGTATATTCGTAAATTGGCAGCCTTCTTATCTTGATGCACTTGATCCAGTTCAACTTGTAGTTTTTGATTAATACCGGTTAATTGAGTAATACGTGCATCCATTTTGTCAAGTTTGTTTTCCAATTCACCAATTTTTCGGCTAGTTTTGTTGAAACTAGCTCCGATAACTTATCAGATATGGAGTCCATGAATTTCTCATCTTTGAAACACTCACATATAATCAATTTGATATCGTACTTTTGATCTTTGGTGAAAACCATTTTGGTAAACTAGAACGAAAACCGACTGAAGCAATGGTTGTTAAAAACGTCGAACGCCGATTCAGTAGCACGTCTACTCTGTACGAATGCTCATGGCACATTAGATTCGATATAGAGGCAAAAGGGACGATTACCACAGACTATTGGAATCCGAAACTGACCGATTGGAACACATACCGTGAATGCCTAAAGTCGGAAGTTGAGGACCTAAACACTAGCATTGAAACAATCCAGGATCTGGAGCAGGTTTCGATGCAACTCCAAAATCTCATAATGAAATCTTATAAGCAAAGCTGTCCTGTGAAACAAAAGGTATCGAACCGAAATGTACCTTGGTGGAACAAACGGCTCAGTGCACTTAGAGCTGAAGCCAGACGACTCTTCAATAGGTCAAAACGTACAGGCAACTGGGACGAACACAAGAAGGCCTTGACAGAGTACAACAAAGAATTGAGGAAATCCAAGAGGTTAACGTGGGGGAGGTTTTGTGAAGGGATCAATGAAGTCCCGCCAGCAACCCGTTTACAAAAAATCCTCTCTAAGGACCACTCAAACGGAATTGGTCTGCTCCGAAATTAAGACGGTACCTACACGCAAAATTCGGAGGAAAGCTTGAGACTGCTAATTAACACTCCCTTCCCAGAAAGCATCAGTGACGACAACCTGCAAGTAGGCTATCCGGATGTAAGGGACGCACATCGTCCCTCCAACCGCGAAAAAAACCTATCAGGTAAAATCTTCACAAAAAACAAAATTCGATGGGCTATCAGCACATTTGAGCCCTACAAATCTCCAGGTGGTGACGGCATTATACCGGCTGCCCTACAACAGGGAATCGAGGAGATACTGCCCGTACTGGTTCGATCATTTCGAGCCAGCTACTTCTTGCGCCACATTCCGCAAACATGGAGAGAGGTTGATGTGGTTTTTATTCCAAAGGTGGGTAAACGTCCCAGCGACCAGCCCAAATCCTATAGACCTATTAGCCTCACTTCGTTTCTTCAGAAAACTATGGAGAAACTACTTGATCAACACATCAGAAGCAAAATTCTGTCGAATAGTCCGCTCCACAAAAATCAATTTGCCTATCAATCAGGCAAATCTACAGAGACCACCTTACATAGTCTGGTGGAAAAGATTGAAAAGGCACAGGTAGATAAAGAAATTGCTCTGTGTGCTTTCATCGACATAGAAGGAGCGTTCGATAACACTTCCTATATGAATCGATAGAGCGAGCCACAACCATCAAGGGGCTCGAGGCCCCAACAACAGGCTGGATACAATCCATATGCTCAGGAGTAGAAGAATGAAAGCTACACTGTCAGTATTGAATTACTAATCCATCAATTTTTGACGCTAAATGATCAGAAATAAGTGGAACTGATGGCACTTTTCCTTTGGAAGTTCGAAAAAACATTGATGATGGATAGAAATAGGTCGAAACACATTCAAATCACCTTGTGTCATACATGGTTGAATTCAGAATAAGGAAACCTTTCAGAATCTGTGAAAAAATTATCAGGACCGTATTCAAAAAGCAAAAGTTGATGATGGTTCTACGGATACGTCACGTCGCATACCAAAATCGTTATCACCACGTTAAACGTCATCAAAAGTTGCTATGGAAAAATATTTTCAGTTTTTCTGTATCTCTTATAATAACGGAGAAAAAAAAAATAGATAATCCAAAAATTCACTTTTTTCGATACAAATAGAGATAAATTTAAAAATTTTCGAAAGCTCTTGATATGAGCCTCCGAATGCGCAACTTTTCCCCCATTTAAACGACTTCGTATCTCCTACCGTTTCCGAGATACCCATGCTGTTCAACCTTATCTTGGACAGACTGTATATAAATTGTCCAATGATGAAAGAAGAAGGTCGACTTGTTCTGAATGCGATCCAAAAGGCAGGTGGAAAAGAAGGTGAAATTTGTAACTTTATAGTGAAATATCCTAATGAATAATGGTTTGTTCACATTTTCATTATCAAATTCGTGTTTTTCAGACAAAAATGCGTACTTAGGTACAAAACAAATTTTAGAAAAAAAAAACCATCGCATGATGAGTGCAGTTTTACTTGGTTTCACCTAGATTTTTATAAATGTATATGAAGTTTTTCATCAAATGTATGAATCGTAAATTTTGAAGTGTTATTTTATCAATTTTAGTACAATATACTTCAAGTACAATTTCGGAATGACTTCTAGTACAAATAAAAATTCTGAAACGGCAACACTGAAACTTAGAGGTTATGGTTAGGTTAGTTTACGACATAGACAAACCAAAAATAAAGGGTTACGATAAAATAAACATAAACATTCAATAATTATTCATAATATTCATCATGGAGATCAACATCAATGCTGAGAAAATGTGATTATTATCATTATCATCAGAACCTTTTTCAACTAATGGTAAGTATCGACACAGGTGTTGATGTGAGAAAATCAAATCTTCATTTTCTGATCATCATCATCAGATAGTAATAGAAATCATTTAATTTTCATAGATTGCTCAGATCCGAAAAATGACAGAGGCTGATATCAAGCAAGGCTTGAGAATTGTTTTGAACAAAATCGAAGAAGCTTGTTCCAGAAGGACACCTGTAAGTATGGCATTAGCATTATTATTGTATACTCAATAATATATTCATACCTACATAAATAGGAGCATAAATATAGTCTTCTACAGCAAATGAGTCCTCTTATTGCAGTGTTGATCAGGCAAACAACTCTTTAAATTTGGTGTACACCCTGAGTTTTTACATACTTGTTTACTTTTCTAAATCCTTTCATAATTTTAATTATTTGTAAACTACCAATTGAGTATCTCAGATTATTTATTGAATATTTTCATTACCTTTTCAGTTGTCTACCAGGTATTCTTATTACTTTTTGAGTATTTTTAATACCTTTTAAGAATACTTTTTTTCAAATATTTTAGTTACTTTCCAGAATATTCTAATCACTTTTCCAGAACAGCAATTCTATTTTTCATTGCTTCAAATACTTTTGAAGTCTCCTGACTCTGACATCATGTTCAACTACATATTGCTGAGACCAGAGATCAGTCAGTGGGGGACTGATCTCTGGCATTAGTAACTGAGTGAATCCCAGAATCCTGATGAGCACAAGCAAATTCAGAATGGTGTTTTCGAGTTTTTGTGTAGACAGAGGTTGAATCTCTGAACTGGCTTACTGATTACTAGTCTCTATTACAGTAGTGGTTTGCAGTGGCACAATAAATTCCAGCGCTTTTTCTTCCATAGAGAAAGGAAACAATATCTTGAGAATCTCAGAAATTCAGTGTTTAGAAAATTCTGTTTTATGATAATTTCCTTACTACAGATGTTTCTTCACTGATGAATCATTATCTAAATTGATGAAAGGCCGTTTTTATTAGTGGTAATAATGGAAGATATTCAGTTTTAACTATTTATTGAGCAAAATTATACTTTATTAAATATCATTGCAAAAGCGCGCCACATGCCATCATTTTAGGTTATCTTAACTTTGGTTAACTTAAGTGATATCTTTGGTTATGTAGACAACTGTCATAAAACATAAAGTTGCCAACATATAAACTACAACACAGTTGTGGCTAGCAGACCAACAGCAGGTTCAATATATTTTAGTTAAAATGGTTTTATTGTTTTATTTCTAACATCCCCCCTCAATAAAATTATTTTAACTTGCTTCATTAATTATAAACAAAATAATGTATTCTACACCTACATAAATATATCAGAGAAATTTCGATGCTTTTATATCTATCTACCTACTTGGATAACAAGCCCAAACCTTCTCTGAATTTTTCGAATTTTATTCTAGCTAAGGGCTTAGTGAATATATCTGCCAACTGATCCTCACTTTTTAAATGAACAATATCAATCAACCTATTTTCAATTTTTTCTTTAATAAATTGGAATCGAACATCAACATGTTTCAACCTTTTATTATTTTCTGGGTTATTTGCAACTTTGATAGCCGACTGGTTGTCTTCATAAATGATAATAGGTTCATTCAAAACAAATAGACAAAAATCTTTCAACATTTTTCTCAACCAACAGGCTTCGCTAACTGCCATGCTCAAAGCAACATATTCTGCTTCAGTTGAAGAGATTGAGACACATTGCTGCTTTTTACTTGCCCAGAGAATTGTACAATTAAATAATTTGAAACAATATCCAGTAGTTGATTTTCTATCAGAAATATCCCCACCCCAATCAGAATCTACAAATCCACAAAGAATGTTTGCATTATCTGGCTTAAATATCAATTTGAGATTTATAGACCCTTTCACATATCTGAGTACTCTTTTTAAGGCTGTTAGCAAATTATTGTTTGCCTTATCTTGAAATCTGCTTAGTAAACTAACACTCTCACATAGGTCTGGTCTAGAGCCTTGAACTGCATACATTAAACTTCCAATGATTTGCCTACAGAGCCTTTGTAACTCAGAGTTGTTTTCTTCATTTTTGAATATCAAATCATTATTTACATCAATTGGGGTATTCACAGGTTTACAATCATGCATGCCGAATTTTTGTAAAACTCTCTTCAAATAATTCTCTTGATCTAATTCAGTGTATCCTTCATGAAGACATTGTTTAACATTAATGCCTAAATATTCAGAGATGATACCTAAATCTTTCATGCTAAAATGTTTATTTAACATAATTTTAACGTTTTTAACTTCATGCATGTTTGTACCTAGAATCAACAAATCATCTACATAGATTAGAATATACAATTTGTTATTTTGTGTAAATTTCAAGTATAAACAATAATCATTTTCTGATCTAATGAAGCCCTGATCTTTCATTAAACAGTCAAATTTATTATTCCAACATCTAGGACTCTTCTTTAGACCATAAATTGATTTATTCAGTTTACAAACCGTTTTAGAATTTTCTTTATGGTTACCTGGTAATGACATATATATCTCCTCATCAACCACACCATAAAGAAATGCACTACGTACATCCATTTGGTGAATAGGTTCACCTAGTGTATTTGCAACTACAAGTAGGATCCTGAAAGTAGTTAGCTTTGCAACAGGGGCATAAATGTCATACAAGTCATCACTACTTTCCTGTTGAAAACCACGAGCTACTAGCCTTGCTTTGAACTCGTTTTCCCCTTTCACTTTAAATACCCACTTACTTTCTATCACATTTTTATTAACAGGCCATGGCACTTCACTCCATGTATCATTCTCTTGAAGCACAAGCAGCTCCTTTTCCATTGCTTCTTTCCATCTTGCATGATTTTCACTTGATACTGCTTCTTCCAGGCTCATAGGCTCTTCTTCTGTAGAATAAAAACACATATCAGCACTGCTCAGATCATAATCCTTAGTCCATGCTGGCCGCCTGACTTCACGTTTTCCTGGTCTGGTAATAACTACTTCTTCTTCAGATATTATGCTTTCTTCTTGTGATTCATTAGAATCATTACTATCATTAGCACTGTCGAAGTGCTCACTTTCATTTTCTTGATCATGAATCTCATCTTGAGTCTCATTGTTATCATGTTCAAGAATCACTTCATTTTGAAAATCAGCTTCAAATTCATTATTTTCACAGTCTAATATAACAATTTCATCTGATTTGATGTTTTCTGTGTTATTTTTTCCTGATGTTTCATTCTTGGGAATGAAGACAACATCTCTATGAACTTCTACTTTATTTTTGTCTGGAAAGTAAACTCGGTAACCTTTGATTTCCTCTGAATATCCCACAAGGACTCCCATTGCATTTTTCGCATCTAATTTGACTCGTTTTTGTTTGGGAATATGAACACTGACTTTTGAACCAAATGCCTTAAATATTTGCATGTTACAGTTCCTGTTGTACCATGCTTGAAATGGTGTTTGTTCCTTTTGTGGGCTATTTCCTGCACGGTTTAAACAAAAAACTGCAGTATTTGCTGCCTCAGCCCAAAAAGACTTATCTAGGCCTGAGCTATGTAGCAGTGTTCTCACTGATTCTACCACAGTCCTGTTTTCCCTTTCCGCTCTCCCATTTTGCTCAGGAGTATATATACATGTTTTTTGATGAATTATTCCCTTATATTGACATATTTTCGACAATTTTTCATTAACAAATTCTAGACCATTGTCTGTTCTCAAAGTTTTAATCTTGTTTCCAGTGATATTTTCTACCATTGGTATAAAAATTTGAATCTTTCTTTCTACTTCTGATTTATTTTTCAAAAAATATATGTGCCTATATCCAGAAAAGTCATCTTTTAATAATAAAAAATACTTTGCCCCACCTAGAGATTCAGTTTCAATAGGGCCACATAAGTCTCCATGTATTAATTCACATGTTTTCTTTGCTCTGGATTCACTGACAGGAAATGGAAGTCTATGTTGCTTTCCAGCTAGACATTCTACACAAAAATTATCTTTTTCATCTTTGAAAGGTATATTATTTCTTTTAAGAAACCTCTTTACTTGTTCAAAGTTAATATGTGCCAGTTTTATATGCCAGTCCTGCAAGCTAGTGACTGCATTACACTGTGATAACTGCATATCAGAATTTTGAGCAGTTCTTTCTACTTTGAATTGCATTTTATATAAATTACCTAATCTTTCTGCTATTGCTCTTATGTTGCCATTTTTATCTAGCAATTCACATTTTTGTTTGTTTGAGCGCATTTCATAGTTTTTGTCCAATGCAGTACTCAAAGAGAACAAATTTACTGCTAGATCTGGTATGAATAATACATTATGTAAGTCTGTACTCACCCAATTGCTTCCATTCCATGCCATTACTTGCACAGTACCTAGGCCATGTACTTCTACTAATGTGCCATTTCCTACTCTTACCTGCCTTTTCTCAGGCATATTTTTCATTGTTATAAACTGCTCCCTGTCAAAACACATATGTTCGGTGGCTCCACTGTCCATCCACCAATGGTTGGCATTCAAGTTGTCTTTGCCAAGTGTTGCCTTGACATCAGAGCAATTTAGTAAGATTGACTCACTAAGAAATGCTTGATCACCTGGCCTCCTATTATCTTCCTTTACTTCTTCTGCTCTTTTCTTCCTAAACCAACAATCTTGCATCCAATGTCCTGGTTTTTTACAGAAATTACATATTTTCTTGATTCTCTGGTGATCCTTCCTTGAATGTCCTGGTTTGTTGTACCTAGCAAACTTTCCTCCAGTTGCTAGTGCTGTTGAATTTCCAGCATTCTTGCTTCTTTCTTCTTCAATCAACAATCTTGACATAAGTTCAGTCAATGTTTGTTTGTCTGATGGACTTGATTCCCATGCAGAGATAAAGTACTTCATACTTTCTGGTAGTGACATTAGAACCTTTGTGACTACCATTTTGTCACTAATTTCTTCTCCCAAGGCCTTCAGTGAGCCTTTTATTTCTTCTAGCTGAGACATGAATTCTGCTGCGTTTCCTTCTGTGTATTCTAGAGAGAAAAATCTCTGAGTCAGCAGATGTACACTTACTTGAGATGTATGCTCATAAATGGCTTTGAGCTTTGTCCACATTTCAGCTGCGGATTTGCATGACAGAATATGTGTCAAGACTTTTTCATCCAGTCTGGACACAATAATTTCCTGTGCTTTTGCATCCATAAGATCCCAATCATCGAAATTTGAAGATGGTCTTCGAGTGGTCCCGTTAACTACATCAAAATACCGTTTTGATTTGAGGGTTATTTCTACCTGGAACTTCCATGTTGTCCAGTTGTTTCCATTGAGTTTCACAATTGCAATAGAACCTGTTTGCTCTCCCATTGTTAATTTCGATCGTCGTATTGTGGCCCCAAACTGGGTTTTTCACACAGACTCGTTGGAGTACTGTTATTTTCTACCGGCGTCGATTATATTTATTACCACTTTATAGGCGCATCTGGGCCCATAACCTGATGAAAGGCCGTTTTTATTAGTGGTAATAATGGAAGATATTCAGTTTTAACTATTTATTGAGCAAAATTATACTTTATTAAATATCATTGCAAAAGCGCGCCACATGCCATCATTTTAGGTTATCTTAACTTTGGTTAACTTAAGTGATATCTTTGGTTATGTAGACAACTGTCATAAAACATAAAGTTGCCAACATATAAACTACAACACAGTTGTGGCTAGCAGACCAACAGCAGGTTCAATATATTTTAGTTAAAATGGTTTTATTGTTTTATTTCTAACATAAATCAACTCTAGAATACAAATACAACAACGAAAATGGAATAATGATATGCAAAAATGAAATTTATTTTATACAGCACACCTCTTTAAATGCCCCCCTCTACAGTGTGTCCCACTTACCATGCTCACCATGGGTATCTCAACAGTGAGAGATATGAGGTCGGTTAAATGACACCAAATGTAGAGTTTGTCAAGGCCTACTATCGAGCCTACTATGATGTGAAAAAATATTTTGATAAAATCTATTCGTTTTTGTTTTTTATGCAAAAAACAGATTTTGATCATTTTCATGTCTCCTCCGTGACTTGTTTATTTATGATAATATTCAAATAGGAATTTCACATTCTCATTGCAGTTTTTCAAAGTGATTTCGAGAAAATATGAAATGTATACCAAATCTTCTAGAATTTGAGATATCAGCACCAACTTCAGTTATTCAAATGAAGGTCATAGCTCACTATGACTTAGTAACAAATAACTTTTTTTTCTCACAGATGATATGTCGCAGTAATAGTTTTGTGTTGATAACAACGGAGTTTTCGTCATTTATACAAAAACAAAAAATTATTTGGAAGCCGCCATCTTGAATTTATGAATTTTAACAAAAAAATCATGATCTCCGACCTCAAAAACCCCCACTCACTAATTTTGAATGGAATCGGACCGAATCTTGTCCGCCATCTTGAAGCAGCCATTTTTTTTCAATATGGTGGACAAGATTTGGTCCGATTCCATTCAAAATTGGTAAGTGGGGGTTTTTGAGGTATAAGATCAAGATTTTTTGTTAAAATTCATAAATTCAAGATGGCGGCTTCCAAAGAACTTTTTGTTTTTGTATAAATGACGATAACTCCGTTGTTATCAGCACAAAACTATTACTGCGACATATCATCTATAAGAGAAAAAAAAGTTATTTGTAACTAAGTCATAGTGAGCTATGACCTACATTTGAAAAACTAAAGTTGGTGCTGATATCTCAAATTCTAGAAGATTTGGTATAAATTTCATATTTTTTTCGAAATCACTTCGAAAAACTGCCATGAGAGTGTGAAATTCCTATTTGAATATTTTCATAAATAAAGAAGTTACGGAGGGGACATGATGATGATCAAAATCTGTTTTTTGCATATAAAACAAAAACGAATAGATTTTATCAAAATATTTTTTCACATTATAGTTGGCCTTGACAAACTCCACATTTGGTGTCATTCTACTGACCTCGTATCTCTCACCGTTAAAAAGATACCCAGGTGAGCATGGTAAGTGGGACACACTGTATATCTCAGCTGTTATAGTCCTGATTTGTACTAGATTTGAACTGATATGAATAACCATCAAAATGATCAGTTTTTTATAGACAAACAACCTTTGCGACAGTGCCGTGATTTTTTATTGAAATATAAAGGGGTCGGTTCTTATCCTACTCCATAATATTGTTCTTCATGCTTTAGAACCTCCATATGCACAAGATTACCTCATTCTGAGTTAATGGGATCTTTTCATTTTCAGCCTCGAAAAAATAATGAATTGATAAATAAACTGCAAATTTTGGAATGTTCAATAGCTCCAGTAGATGATTGAAAATCAAGATATACTCTATGTTGAACTCTTGTTTCCTTCATTTCTTCAAATACCTTTATAATATTATTAGATTATTTTCAATTCCTTTCAAAGTATGTTTGAATCTTAAGTATTCTGATTGATTCTCAAATCCTTTTTAATAACTATTCAGTACTTCTCAATTACATTAATTACTTCGAAATGTCATTAAATATTTTCATTTCTTCCAAATATCACATACTTTAAATATGGTGTACACTTTTATGAGAGTTGTTTGCCCCTCTCCTGACATAATCCATGTGAGACATGGTCTCCTAAGACAAGTGTGCATATAGGAGTAGTGACCTATTTCTGATTGAATAATTTATGTTTTCAAGGAATTACAAGCAACAAATCCACAATTAGTTGCTGTGAGCAAAACAAAGCCTGTAAATTTGATTGTAGCAGCTTATGAAGAAGGTCAAAGACACTTTGGGGAGAATTATGTCCAAGAACTAGAAGAGAAGGCTAATAACTCCATTATACTTGAAAAATGTTCAGATATTAAGTGGCATTTCATTGGTCATCTTCAATCAAATAAGGTTAATAAGGTGTTATGTCTTCCGAATATTCATATGATCCAGACAGTGGATTCTCAAAAATTGGCTGCAACACTGAACAAGAATTGGCCAAAGTTCAGATCATCTGATGCTAAACTCAATATTATGATACAAGTGAACACAAGTGAAGAAGAAGGTACATAATCTTAGAATTCCATTTCAACCTTTGTGAAGTTTTAATATCCATATTCATCAACTGATGATGGCTATAGTCATATATACAGGGTGAGTCAAGCTGAACGCATCAGGCTATAATGGCCAAACGGTGAACTTTCTGAGAAATAATTTCAATCAGGCGAAATTATGTCGATCTGGACTAAATTTCAAAAATGGTGTGATGAATACAGAGTGTCTTGAGAAAAGGTGGCATATCAAAGTTGTACTTTTTCGAATGGAACACCCTATATTTTATTGCATTTCTGAATTCTATGATGAAAAATAAACTAACTTTGCTGAGGTTTCCCTATACCTAATTCTCTTAGTTTTCGAGATTTTTAAATTTTTCTAAAAATGTAAGGTATTAACAAAACATTAATATCATTGAAACCCGATAATTTGAATGTACCAATTTTCAACAGTATACTTCCAGTACTTCTAGCTGATAGATGGGGCATAAGTGGTCGATAAATACTATACGGGGTGTTTTATGTTGCCAGGTACTCTCACTGTAACTTCAAACTATAATAACTTGGTTAATTCAAATAGAACACCCAGTATTTTTTTGTTCCAAGTAATGCAGAATTCTATTCCCTTCCAAACTAAATTATATTTCCCAATACTATAGTCTCATACTTTCCAAGCTATTGCAGTTTCTTTGATATAATCCAGATAATAAACTATTGATTTCCATAACAACTACATTTCATGGAGATGGCTGGTCTTCAATACAGAAATATATGATACAAATCATAACGTCAAGATGGCTAATATCAGCTAGCTGAGTAATCTGTCAGTTGGTTATTTAATTCATTAGTAATTTGTCAATTTATAGAAAATGAAAAAGTTTACTGTTGATGAGAGAGTTGATATGATTTTAACCATTGGAGAGTGTCACGAAAATTGCTTCGTAGCATCAAGGGTATATGCACAAAAATATCCTGACAGGGAGCATCCAGATAAAAATGTTTCCCAAAGATTGTTAGCCCATTTCCGAGAGAATGGTACTGTTGAGTATAATAAACGGGAGATATTCAAACCAGTGAGAGGCAGTGAGGAAAATAATTTCGAAGTTTTGCAATCTGTCATTGAAGAACCTAATACAAGTACCAGAATTATATCTAGAGAAATAGGTATGAGTCAATCCAGTGTGAGCAGAATTCTCAAGACTCACAAATACCATCCATATCATATTGAAATGCATCAAAATTTATATGGAAGGGATTTTGAACACAGACTGGAGTTTTCTTTATGGTCCCTTGAGAAAGTTGGAGAAGACGAAAATTTCTTTGAATATGTTTTGTTCACAGACGAATCAACTTTCAATAATAATGGATTAGTTTACCGTCATAATTTTCATTATTATGATACTGAAAACAACCATAAGTTCCGAACCATCGATCGCCAAAACCGGTGGAGTATAAACGTCCTTGGTGGAATTGTGGGAAATTATTTGATTGGCCCCTATTTTTTTGATGGACATTTGACTGGGAGGAAATTTTTGGGATTTCTGAAAACAGATTTCTTGAATCTTCTAGAAGACATTCCTTTGGACGTGAGACGAAATATGTGGTTACAGTTAGACAGTGTGTCTGCACATTTCCAAAGAAGTGTCAGAAACTTTATCCAACGAAAGTTCCCAAATAAGTGGATAGGAAGAGGTAGCCCATGTAACTGGCCAGCAAGATCCCCCGACTTAACGTCAATGGATTTTTTCCTATGGGGTTATATAAAGAATATTGTTTATCGAACTCCACCTACTACCCCCGATGATATGAAAATGCGGATCAGCAATGCCTTTGCGACAGTTAGTCCTGATATTCTTAGAAACGTCAGAAGCTCCTTTGAAAACAGAATCAGACTGTGTATTCAAGAAGATGGTGGTGATTTTGAGAATTTATTATAATTTTTCAATTTTTTAATCGTTCCAATAACTTCCCATTCAGATTTTCATTATTTTCTCCAAATGAGAAGAAAAAATCCATAACCGATTAAAATATCAACTTGATGGTTTATTATGATTCGTATTCATATTCAGTATAAGAGACCAGCCGCCATCCCGATGAAATGTAGTTATTATGGAAATTAATCGTTTATTTTGATTATATCAAAGAAACCGCAATAGCTCGGAAAGTATGATACTATAGTATAGGGAAATTCAGTATAGTTTGGAAGGGAATTGAATTCTGCATTACTTGGAACGAAAAAATACTGGGTGTTCTATTTGAATAAACCAAGTTATTATAATTTGAAGTTATAGTGAGAGTACCTGGCAATATAAAACACCCCGTATAGTATTTATCGACCACTTATGCCCCACCTATCAGCTCTTAGTATGCGAAGTACACTGTTAAAAATTGGTACATTCAAATTATCGTGCTTCAATGATATTAAGGTTTTGTTAATAACTTGAATTTTTAGAAAAATTAATAAATCTCGAAAACTAAGAGAATTAGGTATAGGGAAACCTCAGCAAAGTCAGTTTATTTTTCATCGTAGAATTCAGAAATGCAATAAAATATAGGGTGTTTCATTTGAAAAAGTACAACTTTGATATGCCACCTTTTCTCGAGACACTCTGTATTCATCACACCATTTTCAAAATGTAGTCCAGATCGACATAATTTCGCCTGAATGAAATTATTTTTCAGAAAGTTCACCGATTGGCCATTATAGCCCGATGCGTTCAACTTGACTCACCCTGTATATATATACAGGGTGTCCCATGAGTAATGGATCAAAAGAAGTGGGGTGGTAGGGGGTGTCATTTGTAATCAAACTAACAGTATAGGTTGTTATCAAATTGTTGATGGTTCAAAAGTTATTAAATTTTTCTGAAGAATGCAACCCATTTGAGAAAAATTAATAACAAAAAGGCTGTTTGGAATGACCCCGTATGTTATACCATTTCGAAGTCTGTATTAAATGGGCAACTCTTTCTTATGATTGGTTATCTTTGTGGGGTAGTTTTTGAATCTGCCAGTGGCATTTAAAACGATAAGTTTGATTGGAAATGACCCCCCAATCACCCCACTTCTTCTGATCCATGACTTATAGGACACCCTGTAGGGTGTTTTTGAAATGAGTACATATATTCAGCACACCCATATGAAACAGTCTAACGAATTTACCCATGATATCAGATTTTTTCTAATTATTTTAATAAACAAGAAATTTTATCCCGAAAATTGAACACAAAACGAGAATAAATTAAAGTACACCAGTTAAAAACAATTTAAATGATTGAACTCCACGTGATTGTTCCATCCGCACGAAGATCTGAACAGAGGTGGCCTCAGAATTGCTACACGTGGAACTTTGGGTGGAAAAAGGGATCTAACCTCAAATGTTAGTTTGATCCCTATATTTTTTTTATTGGTGCCATTTGATAGTATATGTGGAGCTTTCTCAGGGTTTGAAATATTTGCACTTATTTCAATGCCACCCGGTATGATATTTATTATTGTGACCAGTCATCCAGTTCGATCCAGCCAAATTGTACTCCCCACTTTTTGGAGGCAAAATGATTCTGGGTGAAATTTTCTGAATTTTTAGTATGTTGTAGAATTCATACTAAAGAAGCTAGCAAAGCCACTCACTTTCAACATGAGACACATTCCATAATTTTAGGCAAATGTATAGAATAGAATAGAACTTTATTTACGGTTATCCATTGCATACAATATAATCACAAATATTATTACAAGATGGGAAAAAATATATACCTATGTAAATATTTAACAAATACAAATAAACATAAATAACAAGAGAATATCCTAATCAGTATGAATCTATCACAGTTATCACTCACAGTTGCTATATATCCTAGATCATTATGAATCTATATCACAGTAATCAAACACAGCTGCTTATAAAGGGGTACTATTAATGGTAATCAATGACTTCTTGAATAACTGAAACGAATTACTGAAAATGTCCAAATGTATACAATTATTATTGTATTCCCTTGGTATCCTTGAGAGAGGGCTATGCATGCCATAATTTGTGGAATGATGGTTAATGTAAAATAGTGCTTTGCTTCTAGTCCTACTGTTTGTACTTAGCTGAATTTCGGATACAAGTTCGGGACAGTCAATGATACCATTCAACAATTTATATAAAAAGAGCAAGTCTGTGTTGAACCTACGTTTTTCTAAAGTTTCCAAACCTGTGCTATTTTGAATGTTGTCATAATCATGATTCCAATTCATTCCCAGTCTGAATGCATAATGCCTGAGGAATTTTCTCTGTATTCCTTCAATTGTCCCGATATCAACACTGTAGTTAGGACACCAAATCACAGAAGCATATTCTAAGCCTGACCTAACAAGTGCACAGTATAATAATTTTAAACTATTAACTGACATATCCTTTGTGTTTCTCATAACAAATCCAAGATTACTATAGCCAATAGTAGCTACTTTCAAAATATGTTGTTTAAAGGTCATTTTATTATCAATCAAAATGCCTAAGTCTTTGATTTCAGCGACGCGAAGCAACGATTCATCTTTTATTTTATAATCAAATGTAAGTGGAGAGTTGGATCTAGAGAATGTTATGCAGAAACACTTGTTGACATTCAGACACAATGCATTAAGATCAGCCCAATTACAAAAATTTTCAATGTCATTCTGAAGCTCATTGCAATGATTGATATTTGAAATTGTTTTGTAGATTTTTACATCGTCAGCAAACACCAAATATTTTGAATTTTGTAACACTTCATTTAAATCATTGACAAACAGGCTGAACAGAATTGGACCACAATGGGAACCTTGAGGGACACCAGAAGAAACCTCAATAGCATTTGAAATGAAGTTATTAATTCTAACACATTGAACTCTTTCAATCAGAAAGCTATTTATCCATGTTAGGGCTTGACTGCCAATTCCAAGTGCTTTCAACTTAGCAATTAATAATGTGTGTTCAACTCTATCAAAAGCTTTTGTGAAATCAGTGTATACACTATCAACCTGAACA